CAAATAGAAATATTTAAGACAAACATAATTTGAAGATGAGTTTCTTCATAACAAGCATAACAGATCAGTAGTAGTGTGGTCATGTCTCGGTAGCTCGCTAGCTAAAATTCCCACTCCACCTTAAATGGTGCAGCAGCTGCATTCTGGTGCCTCAGCCACAATTTAAGGTGGAATGGGACACTGGCGAATGAGAAGCCGACTTCAGGCTTGTAAAAAGGTGAACATTGAGAGACATTTTACAAGAAAGTGTTCCACTTTTGTGGAAAAGTTTCCTGCCGGAGATGTGAGAAAAGCGGCTATAACTGAGCTAAAGCTTAAAGCAGAGCAAAGTAAGTCTCTGTTTTGTTTATACTCTATTCTATTCTAGTACATCAGCACATACTGAGACATATTTACAGCCAAGATGGTGAAATGGGCATAAAATGTGGCTCCCGAAGTGGTTTGATTTTTATTAAAAGGACAAAATGGCTCTTCTTAACAATTGGGTTGCCGAGCCCTGCACTAGGTGGTGGTGGTGGTGGTGTGTTGTTTTTTGTACAGGCTCTCTGTAATCAGTGCAGTTGTTCAGTGTTTTAGAAGTACTAATGATACCCATGATACAGTCATATGCAAAGTTTGTTGGAAGTGGAACCATGTTAACACGTCCTCTACATGGAGCAAACGTAAATATGGCAGTTTTCTGGGAATTTTGGTGCACAATTTCTGTTTATTTGCTGAGTTTAATATATTGGGAAGAAATATGTTTTGCACATATTTGGTTTACACTCCACATTTAACGTCTTATTTTTTCTAAATAAACAATAATTGTGCATTAAATTGTCCAGAAGTATGTTCTCTGTAAATGACGTGTGAACCTACCTTTAACAAATCAACAAAACATAATTTGACTGGGATGCGTAAACTTTGGCAAAACGACTGTATACTCGTAATTTATCGATTTATCGTAACAATAACGTATTTACTCCACCTCCCACCTCCAAATATGATGTGGCTAAATATTGGCCTCCATTATTTTTGACCTAAATAATTTGCTACTGTTGGATAACATTAATTATTCCCTCCCACAGTCCAAAGACATGCAGTGAGGCCAGTTGGATACGCTAAATTGCCCCTAGGTGTGAGTGTGTGTGTCTGTCTGTCTGCCCTGCGATGGACTGGTGACCTGTCCAGGGTGTATCCTGCCTTCCAGTTTGGCCATTTATGGTTATGCTGTAATACAATTTTAGTGTCTTGAACCAAAAAAAAATTGTTCCTAGCAGTTTTTTCAATGAATAGTTCAAAAATCTTACCAGTATGCAGTGAAAAATCACAGATATGCAGCATACAAACAGGGCAAACCACGCTAACGTTACCCCATTTAGCTGATCTGTTGCCTCTGAAGTAGTCCACTTTGTTTTTAGCTGTAGCCTAACATCGACACCAGACTGATGAGGACAAGCGTTGGACCATCTGGTGCTGAAGCGTGAATGACTGTAATATTTTCCAAATTCCAGCCGTGTCTGACAGTCAGAGGGGCGAGTTTACGAGACGCACAGAGAAAAATGTCTTGAGAAATTTGATGAAACTGAGGATTCGAATGTCCTGTTTCACCTTAAATGGTGCAGCATTTACGTTCAGGAGCCTGCACAGGTCCCAGAATGTTTATTTGACCAGAAAGCTGGCAAATTAGACAAATTCAGCCTTTAAGATGTGAAACAATAGAAACGGTGAGAACTAAAACAGAACGCTGTCACACGCGCACAGAATTAAAACAGCTTTATGTCAGCAGGTTCATGTACATACATAGTTATGAGCACGTGCTCATAAATTCATAGTTATACAAACACACAGCCAAAGTGACACCCTGTTATACACACAGACACACCGGCACCACATCACACCACCCCTCACGCAGCAGGACTGCAGACCAACGTCTGCAAACTGTATGAACGCCATACGTTGCTATTGTTGTGCTGAAGTAGGGAGTATCTAAAAAGAACAGCTGAATAATGACGTAGCTGTGGCTCAGAACCAGAGCGAATGCTCTATTTATTTGCCATTTGCTGACGTAAGGCTTCTTTGTAACTTTGAAATAGTTCAAAGACTCAGATGCGCCTTTAGCGGTTGAGGTTAGCAGATCGTTCGAGTTCACAGGTGAACAGTTAAGAGGAAATTGCTATAACGCAAGAAGAACATAACAGACCATGATAACGAGTTATCATGTGAAAGAAGACTAGATTAGGTGATTCTCTTTTTCTGATTGAACAGTTATCAACAATACACTGATCAGGCCTAACATTATGACCACCTCCTTGTTTTTATCAGCTCCTCTTACTATATAGGAGCACTTTGTAGTTCTACAGTTACAGACTGTAGTCCATCTGTTTCTCTGATACTTTGTTAGCCCCCTTTTACCCTGTTCTTCAGTAGTCAAGACCCCTATGGACCCTCACAGAGCAGGTACTATTTGGCTGGTGGATCATTCTCAGCACTGCAGTGACAGTGACGTGGTGGTGGTGTGTTAGTGTGTGTTGCGCTGGTACAAGTGGATCAGACACAGCAGTGCTGCTGGAGTTTTTAAACACTGTGTCCACTCACTGTCCACTCTATTAGACACTCCTACCTTGTCAGTCCACCTTGTAGATGTAAAGTCAGAGACGATAGCTCATCTGCTGCTGCACAGTTTGTGTTGGTCATCCTCTGGTCCTTCCTCAGTGGTCACAGGACGCTGCCCACAGGACGCTGTTGGCTGGATATTTTTGGTGGACTATTCTCAGTCCAGCAGCGACACTGAGATGTTTAAAAACTCCAGCAGCACATCCTGTATAAATAAAGATATTGCATGGCCACGACAGTAAGGTGTGGGAATGAGATAATTAAGCCTTGAGCACAGCTTAATAAGGCATGATCTCTTTCCCACGCCTACTAAGTCGTGGCCATGCATTACAGTCTCGTTCCTACACGTTAATATAGCATAGCCATGCATTATTTTTATGTATACGGGATGTCACCAGCAGGGCTCCGAAGATTTCAACATGGGTCATTAGGTTTTTTTTACTGTGCGCTGTGAACATGCTGACCAAACACAGTTCCAGTAATACGGTACCAGCCACATATTTGATTTGGAGTTCAGTATGGCAAGAGTTTACCGACACATTTACCTTTCAGAGTTGATTATGAAGCGACCGGAACAGCGGATCATTTTAACAGAGGTTCCTGTTGGAAGTGATAGAAAAGACATGACAGCCGCTGCAGCGGAGGACGAAAACGCAGTGAAGTCTATGAGCTCAGCTCATTAATGAAAAAGGAATTTGCCTCCAGATATTTTAGCTCCCTGCCGAGCTGAGACAGAACATTTTGTGAAGCGAGCGCTATTTCCAGCAGCTGAAGCAGTGTTATCTGTTATAGACAGCCTACCTCAGCTCAGGTTCTCTGTCTCTGACGAGTGTCCACAGAAATACTGCGTTCCAGTCTGGATTTGATGCTGTTGAAATGCAAAATTTTAAATCCTTCCTGAAATCATCTGACTTGTGTCTTGTGCACATGCGAATGTTGCTCAGTGCAAATGCAGTATAGATCATTTATAGCAGCAGCAACTTTTTAACTGTTACCTCTTTCACAGACTTTTTTTTACGTACAAGCCGTTCCACATTGTAAGTGTGCACTGATTGACTGAGAATAAAAATGTTTGTTTACAAAGTTGAGGGGTCATGCCAGTTAGTGCTGATATAGCCACGCCCTCACCAGCTGTAATAATCCAGATGAACTCTAGGAAATGTAGAAATCTTTATAGGTTATAGATTTACAAGTTCTCGAATAAAAAGCTTGATGTCTTTAGCAGTGGTGGAGGAAGTACACAAATCATGTACTTGAGTTTAAGTAGAGATACCCAAGGTAAAATATTACTCCAGTAAAAGTAGAAGTTCCTCCCTTTAGACCTCCACTTGAGTAAAAGTACAAGAGTATTTGCCTTCAAATGTACTTCAGTATCGAAAGTAAAAGTACTAAAAGATTAATTATGACTCTGATGTCCTGTTATCATTTTATAACAAGACTCTGCTTTATTAATTAGGTGAAAATACTCCAGTGTCTCTCTTGGTAAACCAGTCTTTTAATAGAATGTCATTAATTAGTGACGCTGACGTCTATTAAAATTATCATAAGCACAAAACACTGAAGGCAAACAGTTTCCATCAGGTAGAACTGAGTGGCTCTGAAATCACTTTATACAAACAAGCAAAGTTTCAGTTTGAGATTTATTTACACTCAGTTACAAGTTTAAGTTTAATAAAAACTTTAAACTCAGGTTCACAAATGAGTTTCCTTTACTAAACTGCGTCTGTAGGTCTCTGTTCATAAACATAAACTAGCCAAAACAAATTTACTATAAAATGAAAAAGTGTTTGTATAAATTCAGAAAAAAGACGCGTCAGTCACAACTGCATATGTGTACATATTTCTATACTGTGGTCTGTTTACACAAAGTTAGGTTAGTTCATCATTTATGCTGAATAGACTCTCCCAAAATTTTACGCTGCTGCACTGATGTTGAACCGTGTGCTGCACTGGGTCGGTATGACCAACAGGTCAAAACAAGCTCAAAACTAAGTGACCCCTGTGCCCTGATTGGTGCTCTTGCTTTGTGCTTCTTTCGTTTTGACGTTTCTTTTTTTTATACACACACAAACCCAAAGGAACGACAGATTTCTCATAATGTAGTGGAGTGAAAGGAAAAAGTCGCCCAAAATGGAAAAACTTCAGTAAAGTACAGATACACAAAAAAACAGTAACGAATTACATTTACTTAGGTACTGTCCAGCACTGGTCTTTAGAGGTATACCACAGATTGTCATTTTTGTTCCGAATGTTTATTTGGAAGGCTGGACTTTTGATTAAGCTATTTGACAGCCTGACTCACCTCTTTTAATAGCCATGTAGTTCTAAATAAGTGAACTTATTATGCTGCTGCTGTGGTTTACTAATTACTGTTTTTTTTTGTTTTGTTTGTTTTGTTTCAACAGCCGAACCCAAAAGATGCGACCTCTGCCAACCTCTTTGTCTGACCCTGTTTGGATTCAGCCGCGGGAGTGTTTGCAGTTCAGCCAAGCATGAGGCTGCTGGCCTCCTCATTTGAATTGTGGCTCTGTCAAGCTCCTCTCTTCCTCATGGAGTTTTAATAGCCGCCGAATACCTGAGTGTTCTTGGAGAACAAACAGACACATGGACACGTACACAGATATGTATGAAAGCATTGAGGTATAGCAGCCCGTCTGCCAATTTTTAGAGTTTTTTTACTTGCGTAGTGAACGAGAGCGGGAGGGAGTGAAAGAGAGAGAGTGAGAGACTTAGGGTCCCATGCTCCGTCGGGCCGAAGTACTTTCACCATGAGCAGTGCTTTAGGCAAAGACAAAGACTGCAAGGAGAAGGAGCCCAAACCTCCGTCCGGTAAGGAGCGGGAGAAGGAGCCGAAGGCACCCGGCAGCTTGGGCAAAGAGGGCAAGGAGTCCAAAACCAAAGGGAAAGATGCCAAAGACGGGAAGAAAGACGCGAGCGGCGCACCGCCTGCCGTGGCCTTCTCTGTGGACAACACGATAAAACGGCCCAACCCGGCGCCGGGCATCCGCAAGAAGTCCAGCAACGCCGAGGTGATCAAGGAGCTCAGCAAGTGCCGGGACGAGAACTCGACACGCCTGGACCTGTCCAAGCGCTCCATCCACCTGCTGCCCTCGTCCATCAAGGAGCTGACACAGCTGACTGAGCTTTACCTGTACAGCAACAAGCTGCAGAGCCTGCCGGCAGAAGTGGGCTGCCTGTCGGGCCTGGTGACGCTCGCCTTGAGCGAGAACTCGCTCACCAGCCTGCCCGACTCGCTGGACAACCTGAAGAAGCTGCGCATGCTGGACCTGCGGCACAACAAGCTGCGGGAGATCCCGGCCGTGGTGTACCGCGTCACCTCGCTCACCACGCTGTACCTGCGCTTCAACCGTATCACCGCCGTCGAGAAGGACATCCGGAACCTGGCCAAGCTCACCATGCTCAGCATCCGCGAGAACAAGATCAAGCAGCTGCCGGCTGAGATTGGTGAGTGACCAAGCTCTGGAATCTATTATAGAAGGCACATTGATGAACAAGTGTGCTGTAGGTCTGTAGGACTCTTGAATGGGCTCTAGCTGCTAGATCATGGATGCGCTGATCTGCTGCGGAAAGGTTTCTGCACAGTCCTTAACTGTTACCTAGCACACCAGATTCTACCAACCAGAAGCTAGAATACTGACTAACTAGGGCTGCACATTGTTTGTCATTTGTTCATGTGTTGTCAGTCATTGTTGCAGTATTGGTCTTTGCAATACTAATAACCTCGAATTCCAGGTGATGGAATATCACCTGGATTTAAATAGCCACTGCTGTGAAATCAGGCCTCCTCCTAGGATTTCACAGCCACAAAGGACGTGTTCAAAAACAAGGCAGGACTTAATATAGAATTGATAACATTTTGTAAGTGGTTCATCTTTCTCTCTTACATATATTTCATATCTGCAAAACTAGGCAAGTTTGCAACATGTACATCTTCAGCCCTATTTGAGCTGGATTAGTTTTACCAGATGAGGTTCGGTAACATAACCTGTGCATGATTTGAGTGGCTGATTCATACAGGATGAAGGATGGGTGTAATTTTTCTTACCCAAAGAGCCCAGATTGAATCGTCATCGCATGGATGTTTGAGTTGTTTGCACACTTCTGAACGATAAAACCCAGAACAAAATGTTGCTCTAAGCCCTGCGGTCCTCCACAAAGACCACACTTTGGTAACGTCAACAATGTGCAGACTTAAAGGGTTTAAGACCTCAAGGGTAAGCATGTGCATTTGGGATAGACAAGTGTGATGTGCAGGCTCCACATGTGCTGCACGCTTTGTACTGGTTGTACATTTTTGTTTTTAATGAGCTAATTTGCTTGTCGTCAGCATCTAAATTCAGACTGCAAACAAAATTAAGCTCAGTGAAAAGTAAAATTAATAAACAAATGCATTTTTATTCATATCTGAATATCCGCCATGTTGATCAGACAGCTGTAAAAGCTGTCTACTGATTGGTTTGTAATTTTGGGTAACAGGCTTTGCGGTCCTCACCCAAGGCCCCAGTAAGTGTGCACAAAAGGTGCTAGTTCACCCCTTTGAGCGTCAAAATAAGAAAAGACACCCGACAGCTTCTCTTCCTGTGCATGTGCAGTTTTGCGATGCAAGTGTACCATTTAAGAGCAGGCCTACCATGCTATGCAGCTAAATGGCAACTAAGGCACCAGGAAGAAAGTGTGAAAGGCAAGGCAACACCCAGTGTCATGAAGTGTCATGAGGATTAAGGAATTGGGTCAAATCCAGCTCCATTTTAGTAGTTAGCCTTGTGTTCAAGTTGGGAAAAAAAGAAATAAATGGAGGCGCCATTATATGTTACCCAGTTTTTGTGACGTTGATTTGGATAGGGCTAATTTGACTGAGGGAGCTCTGAGTTCAGCAAGTTATAGAAAAAAATTGCTCCAGAATAACTTGATAGAAAACTATGGATGTGGCAAATTTATACTCAATTAAAATACAGATCTCCTCTGTAATCTCTCCAATAACAGTATCTCCCCAGGTAAAACTAATCCAGCTCAAATAGGGCTTTAGCTAAAAATAATGCTGTTCGCTAAGGGAGATAGTTTAAGGGATGGACTCTTTTAGAAGTCATACAGACATGACTTTCTGCGGACAGTCTTAAGGGTTGAATCTGATTGGATGCCAAGGGAGCCAATCAGATACCAGTCTAAAGAGTGGGCAGTATAGCAAAAATATGATGGTAGTGGTTTCCATAAGTCTTTTAAATTTTAGGTATGAACAAGGCAAATGTGAGGTATGAATACCAGGTAATTATTTTGGGGGTAGAGGCCTGGACTCATTTTCAGTGTTGCACGCTGGAGCGAAGAGTAACCAGCCCACTGTAGGCCAGAGCGGGTCGTAGCATGCATGGAGAGAAATCCCGCAAATTAATGAACAGCCTGAATAAAGTAGAACTCTCACTAAATCATATATATAAACAATATAAAATGATAACAGTAAAACAGTTCAAATTAATGAAGTCGTTCTAAAGGATATCGTGAACAGCGCGCAAATTCTCGTGGCTTACAGAGACGGAGGAGTCTTCAGTCTGATGACCACAGCTGCTGAGCCCAGCGAAACACCAAAAAAGACCGTTCTGTGGTTTAATTCATGCTTTATGTTTACTGGGAATAAGTGGTGTTTCGTGAAATTACTCTCAGTGAGCCTGATGACCATGACTGCGCTGATATTTCAGCAGAGAATAAGGTATTTTTTAATAGACTAGGTCGCATATTGTATGTCAGTTTGGCTTGACAGAACTGTGTGGGTGGGAGCGGGACAAAACGTTTCGGTTGCGAGCGAAGCAGGAAAAATTATTCTGATTTTCTGTGGGAGTGGGATAAAATCTTGGGCTTTCTTCCTGGTGCCATATTTGCCATTTAACTGCATAGCATGGTGTCTTTTTTCTTATTTTGAAGCTCAAAGGGGTAAACTAGCACCTTTTGTGCACACTTACTGGGGCTTTGGTCGAGGACCGCAAAGCCTGTTATCCAAAATTACAAACCAATCAATAGACAGTTTTCTTTACAGCTTTCTGACCAACATGGCGGATATTCAGATATCCCAATAAACAGTCCTGTCTAGACCTCTATTTTGGTAACATAATGTTAAATTCTGAGATTAGTCTACATCAAATACTCTGGATTTACAGTATTTGGATTAAGACTGTGGGTACTCTGGTGACTGGTACAAAGTAAATAATTTGTAGCAGTGTAATCAGAACACCAATATTTTGTTCATATCGTGCAGTCCTTGCCGTGGACCTGGAGTTTGAGGCTGTCCTGCCAAGAAATAGTACATTTTCTTAATCTTAAATCGTGAGTGCTTCATTCACTTGTGCCTTTCTGGAATCACTGAATAAATGGAGGGGCTGGCAGAACCTCGGGAGGAAAAGATTTGCTGAAAGCACTACGCGTTTGATTCTTGCTGTATCACAGCGTTGAGTTTGATGTCTGTGTTTGGTCTACAGGCGAACTGTGTAACCTGATCACTCTGGACGTTGCCCACAATCAGCTGGAGCATCTCCCGAAAGAGATCGGCAACTGCACACAGATCACCAATTTGGACTTACAGCACAACGAGCTTTTGGACCTACCTGAGACTATAGGTACATGTTCTCTTACAGTGTTACTCCTCTGTTTCTTCTTTTATTTACAGTATGATGTTTTTTTCGGTGTGTTTCTTTTCTTCTGTCTAATATCCACAGCACTCCTGCTGATTTGGGGAAAAATGTCCAATAGCAGTTTTTCTTACTAACATTACAACTGCAGTTTAAATGCTGTTATGTTCTATAAATTAAGCTCCAGGCCTCAAGTTTAGTCCTCAAGTGCAGTCAACCTACCAAGACAAGTTTGGTGTTCAGAATTTGCTTTCTTAGCTTTGCGCTGGAGCTGTGAGGCTAGTTTAGCTGACACATGGACACGAGATACACGCAGAATTCTGGTGTCAAGCTGACCGCTACTGCTTTGATTTACTTTTGTCCATTTTCATAAGTAGCTATAATAGTTCTATAGTGTCAAAAACCACATAAGCAGGTATATTTGAGATGATTTATCACTGCTTAAGGCATGTGTGATGATTTAGGCCTCATTTATAAAACCTACTTGAATTCTAAATTTTATCTAAAGATTAGTTTCTCAGGAAAAACTGTTCACAAAACACAAATTTTGACATACAGTACAATGCCACTGAGAACAGTTTTGAGATCAAATCTATGTAGATGAATGCTTTATTATAAATAAGGCCTGTTATTCGCAGACGGGTATAAGCTTCCATTATTGTTAGCCACATGGTACGTTACCTATAAATAAAAACGAACCGAGACAAAACATCATATTTCTACCTTAAAGTAAACTTCTCACCAAGCTACAGCTGTGATGGGTACTTGTCTGTTTCTCTTTTTATACAAACCTCATTGATAACAGTCTGCAGGATGGTACAAACGCTATTCAATTAACGTTTATTTTTGAGCTCATCGTTTGCTTCGTGAAAAAGTGATGCATGACGATTGAGCTGTTTCCACTTCAGTGGAACATTTTCCAACTTGATCAAGTGGAAACTCTGGTAAGCCTTTTTGGTTGACTTGGTTTGGGTGCATTTAGGAACGCAGCAGTGATTCTGACCAGTAGTGGTAGCCATTGCTCACAGCATGACCCGAAGTCATTTAATGCTATAATTTACACTTCCATATTAACGAACGTGTGAGTGTGAGAATGGAATACTGTAATAAAGACATTAAAATAAGTTCTCTATCAAACACATTATAAAGGAGGACTTTTCATTTTCAGTTGTAAACACTGCCACTGCTGTAATGTTTTCCCTAATATGACGACTTCTGCTGTGTCGAATGTGGAAGTGTGAAAAGGGTCTACATTGACAAGCGCCCCTACCTTTGAGCTACATCTTCACAAGATGCTGGGCCCAATCCCAGTTCTTCTTTTTACCCCTACCCCTTGTTTTCGAGTGTCACCCTAACCTCTTGGAACTGAGTTACAGGGGTAGTGGTTGAAATCTTCCTCTCTGAAATGGGACCCTCAAATAAAAAGAGCATCACTTCATTAACAGCTACTAGCGCTGCTCTGTAGGCGACCCTGCCAGTCTGCAGTGACAGCAGAGGAGGGTAAAGTTCAGCTCCTCACTGCTGGGCTTTAGTTACATTTAGGGCATCAAATGCCTTCAAAGAGGGGGGGCAATTATTTATTATCACCACCCCTAATTCTTCAGTGATATGAAGCTGAAGTCAGATATTCACCAGCTTCTTGTTCAAATTTTCCCATTCCACCTTAAATGGAGCAACAGTTACATTCTGGAGCTTCAGGCGTCAGAACTGCTGGACTATTTAAGGTGGAATGGGAAAATTAGCTAGCTAACTACCGAAACATTAGCAAGCTATTATTTTCTTCATACTTGTTATGATGAAAAGGACCATAATACACTGAAACAACATTAAACTAAAGATAATACAGTGTTTATTGTAATTTTCACAGAGAAAATTCTCACATTTGTGGGTTTCTTTGGTCTCTTGTTCAGCCATCTTGCCGGTTTTTTTCTCATAACACTCTGTTTGGATTGTGTGACTCTGAAAAACCCCCTGTTTGGAGGGCCATGTAGCCCAAACACTTCGCCCTACCCCTCTATCTCAACAAGTTGCGGGACACCCTACTTCTAGATGTGAATGTGCAAAACAGAGAGCTAAGGGCTTAGTGGTAGGGGAAAGGGGTGAAATGGGATTGGGCCTTAGACTGTTTTCAAAATTTCACACTCACCCTAAAGTCTAGATTCTCACACACTTTTAGCCCAGAATTTCTCATGGCTTTCCCCTGATGTGGTGTCATAACATGAACATCCAAACATGTCTTGCCTGATCCACTACAATATAGTTAAAGGTTTGTGGGGAGGGATATATGTAAACTTTGGCCAAGCTATAACCTAATGCAGCAAAAACATGCACTGGTCCTCTGATGACTTGGTGGTCTAAGACATTGCTTTAGCCAGCGTCTGCAAAACCAGCCTTACAAAGCCGAAGCTGTTTTAACACTTTTTTTTTTTTAATCATTGTTTTAGGCAATCTGTCGAGTATAAACCGCCTGGGTCTGCGGTACAACAGGCTGTCAGCAATCCCCCGATCGTTAGCAAAGTGCCGGGAGCTGGAAGAGCTAAACCTAGAAAACAACAACATCTCTGTGCTACCTGAGGTAAGAACAAGGGCATGTGGTTTTCTCCTCTCTATAAAGAGAGAGTTCAGCTGAATTGTGCTGATCTTGCAAGAAGGAAAGCTAACATTGGACATTGGTGTGATGTCATTTGAGCTTTGCAGCATTACTGGCAATATTAGCTTTCCTTCACTGTTACCAGCATCAACTAGTATTACCTCCAAGAACAGGTGCCAAAGAGGACTACAGAGTTTTCTCTGATCTAACACATCTGTTGACCTCTCGAACGGCAGGATGACTCAATTAGCTGATGGTTTTGACACATTTATGCAGATTGTTTTGGTCAGTTCTTCAGTTTTGTAGTGCACAGTTTCTGTTTATTTGTCAAATTTAACATGCTGAGGGAAAAAATGTGGCATGTCCTCTAACTTTTGCAGTGCCAACAGAGAATTCTGACAGCGCAGCAGCAGCTCACAGTCAGTATTCAGCCAACCCACAAATATAGTATTTACATTTATGGGCCAATCAGAACTGAGATAACGATTCCTCAGTGTGAAAAGAGCCGTTTCATGAATGGTGAACTTTTTCACATATTCAGATTTCTTTCGAATGATCAAGTGTTCATATATATGAATTATCATTGTTAGCTACCAAGACAATCTGCTTCCATTTAGCTTGTGTATGAAATTGATCTAGAACATGTTTATTTCTGTGAGCTGTCATCATTGCTATGAGAGCTAAATGACGTCTACAAATTACATTGCAAGTGGCAATCATCGGGGTCCAAGCACTTCGCACTGTATGAAGCCAAAGTTTTACCCTTTATTTATAACAGACGTGGGCACGCAAAAGACACATTGGCTTTTTTTTTACCTTGATGCATTAAGCAACGACGTATCAAAATACCCAGAAAAGTACAATATTTGGACATAATTTGTACTTGAATAGTACATATCATTGCAACACTGTATTCATATGCCCCTAAATATTGACCTTGAGGAATGTTTTTAAACTGTATCCCTCTGCCCAAGTTGAAGTCTCAGATGGACTCAACACAAGACAAAGACCACATCACAGGCACCAACCATCACGTCACTCTCTAAGCTTCTTACTCTTAAACCCCTGACACAGCGACCCAGGCCTGACCAGCTCCATCAGCTTATTGAGTTGGCCAGTTGGTTCTGATGCCCATACTAGTCGGTCACTCAGAGTTTACAGTGTCCAAACCCACATAAGTAAGGCTGAATGATAAACCAGATTTGGGGCAAGGGGGAAATTTTTATTCATTTTATTCATTTTAATTACATGTTTTGGTCAACCTTTGCTGTAGAGCCATTTCTCCAGAGGTCTCAAGGTTGGAGGTTAATGGAAAATCAACATTAAAAATGATTCGATAGTTTTCCTGACATTTAATAAAGAATGCTACCTGACTGTACTTCATATGTTTTGTTATTTTCACTAGTTTGGGTTTTGATGTTTTTTTATCATGGTTTGCTGTTATTCTGATGTGTTGTTTTGTCGCTTCGTTCCTGCGGTCAGGGCCTGCTCTCGAGCCTGGTGAACCTGACAAGTCTGACGTTGGCACGGAACTGTTTCCAGTCGTACCCGGTGGGCGGCCCGTCGCAGTTCTCCACCATCTACTCGCTTAACATGGAGCACAACCGCATTAATAAAATCCCTTTCGGCATCTTCTCCCGTGCCAAGGTCCTCAGCAAGCTCAACATGAAGGTGAGGAGAATGTGGGTGGGGAGATTTGCTACCTAAAACCGGATTTCTGTGACCTACGAACGCAGACTCTCGTATGTCTTTCATACTACGTCACTTGCTGACTTGCAGGAGCGCCGCCTATGTGGTGCAAAACTTTTCAGTTATCGGAACGTCCCCGCTGATGTTCTAAAGTACCTCCGAAATGTCCTTAAAACATCAGGATTGCTGAGCAATAGTGAAATCATGGCAGGTTGTGTGGTGTGAAAGGGGCTTTACTAACAGCAGTTCCGCACAAGATGTCCCTCAGTGATCTCAGAGTGAAGGTGAGGAAGGTGGGTGGGGAGATTTATATGACGCTAAAATGTGTGTGTCTGCGTGTATTAAAGCTTTAATCGGGCCTAAAGTTTTGGTCAGAATGCGAATGTTCAGAACAACATATTATCCCAACCGAGCTTCACAAGTTTGCTTTGTACGAGTCTCTGTGTTGCAATTTTTGACACTTTAGCAGAAATATTTCTTTACTTAGTCTCATTATTAGTGGTTGGTATAGTGTAGTGGGTAACACCTCTGCCTTCTACGCTGTAGAATGGGGTTCAATCTCTGCCTGGGCAGCACCCTACACTATACCAATAAGAGTCCTTGGGCAAGACTCCCAACACTACCTTCGCCTGCCTGTGTAAAATGATCAAATTGTAAGTCACTCTGGATAAGAGCGTCTGCCAAATGCCTTAAATGTGAATTATTAGCTGCAGGCATTGCATTTTACAAAGGTAAACCCCTGCTTTAAACCTCTGAGGTTCAGCATGGTGTCTAGTCTATAAAATATATATTTAAAAATAAAATGATAGAAAACATTCAGTCTGTACGAGAGTTGAAGCACTGTAGGCAAAAACTACTTGAAAGAGTTGTTTGGTCTGTAGGTTGTCAACCATAGAAAGTATGCCATCTATTGTAATCACTAATTCCGCAGAAGCTTTAGACATTTTTAAAGGAATATGATCCGCAACTCACTAAAACACCGAGATTAGCTGACGGCTTCAACTAAAATAGCTTTTGTGCTAGCTAGCATGCTTGCTATCCAAGTAGCATGCCAGCCAACTGTTTCAGGTTGTTCTATCTCTTTATTTAACCACCGCTTTTGCTGCGCATAGCTCTTCGTTCTGTATGTCAGACTAAAGATTTTTCTATAATAAGTGGCTCATTATTTGAAGCCCCATCAAACCGGATGGCACTGCGTGCTGAGGGTCCTGCCGCAGTGACTGCGCATGACGGTACCAAGACTGACCAGCAAAGTCACAAAATTTAGCTAGAACATTGAACATTTTATTCATTTACTGCATTAAATTAGGCGATGCTAATTTAATCGGTTGTGTTCATGAATGAAATTTCAAGGTCTTATGTCACGAGTCCGACTCGATGTAACAGTCAGTTAAGGGAATGTCCCAGTCAATTCTAATGTCTGTTAAAGGCGAGTGCAAGTCGGAGGTCAGTTAAGGCTGCGTCTGAGTAGAGTCATGAGTCAATTAAGAGTGAGTCCGAGTCAAGTCAGGAGTCAGTTAAGGGCATATTCAAGTTGAGAAGAGAAAGATGAGTTGAGCTGGGTGTCAGTTAGGGGCGTGTCCGAGTAGAGTCGGGAAACAGTTAAGAGCAAGTCCGAGTCGAGTTAGGAGTCAGTTGAGCATGATTCTAATAGGGAGTCAGTTAAAGATGAGTTGAGCTGGGAGTCAGTTAGGGGCTTGTCCGAGTAGAGTCGGGAATCAGTTAAGAGAAAGTCTGAGTCTGGCTGGGAGTCAGTTGAGCATGATTCTAATAGGGAGTCAGTTAATCGGTTGAAGGCATGTCCAAGTCAAATCAGGAGTCAGTTTAGATGAGTCAAGTTTAGATTCAGATAAGGGTGTGTCTGAGTTGAATCGGGAGCCAGTTAAGAGCAAATCCGAGTCGATCGGGAGTCAGTTAAGGATGCGTTGAATCTGGAGTCAGTAAAGATCAATTCCAAATTGAATTGGGAGTCATTTAAGGATGAATCGAGTGGGGAGTCAGTTTAGGGTGCGTCCGAATAGAGTCCGGAGCCAGTTAAGCACAATTCCGAGTTGAGTCAGGAATCAGTTAAGAGAAAGTCCGAGTCGTGTTAGGAATCAGTTGAGCATGATTCTAATAGGGAGTCAGTTAAAGATGAGTTAAGCTGGCAGTCAATTAGGGGCGTATCCGAATAGAGTCGGGAGCCAGTTAAGCGCAATTCCGAGTTGAGTCAGGAGTCAGTTAAAAGCAATTCCGAGTCGAATCGTGAGTCACTTAAGGATGAGTCGAGTCGGGAGTCAGTAAGATCCAGTTTGAATTGGGAGCTAATCTAAGTAGATTCAGGAGTAATTTAAGGATGAGTCAAGTCAGGAGTCAGTTTGGCCTAGATTTAACCATGTCACCTCCAGTGTTTTCCAGTTTAGTTTTAATTCATTGCCACCAGTATAATCACGATGTATTGCGTCCATATCGAGCTGCCCTGCGTTGGGAGTCATTTGCAAGTCAAATTCCAATCGTGCTTTTCTGCCGCTGCCTCTGTGCCGAGTGTCTCGTAGATGGCCGTTGTGACTGTAGAGCAGGCGGAGGGTTAAAGGGTTAAGCCTGGCTCAGGGTTATGCTGGCAATAGCAGGATGCTGTCAGCTGGGATTGAACCTGTCTTGGTTCAAATCCAAGTTAGCCTTTATTTTTAGGCGGCTGCGTTGCCTACACAGCTACTGCTGCTCCAGCTGAACATGCGGACTGTGTTCCAAATACAACTCGATTCTCTTCTCCTGAAGAAAGTAATCTCTGAAATGTGAAGAGGTGGGATTTACCTACGTTCCCTTCACGTGTCACATGAATCGGTCAGATTCACTCTCCAGTCTTCCACATCCGCCCCGTTCCTCTTGGCCTTCTCACTGTAATGGAGACGGTCTGATTGTGCTCTGCTTACTCTAATGCCATTCTCAGAGGCTATAATGAATGCAGACTAGTGGTGGTTCCTGCTGAAATGCTTTGTGTCTGGAGAAAATCGTACATGCAGTGCCACCTAATGGCCATCTTAATTAGTCCTTTAAGGTGGGATGGATTAAAAAAAAACCCTATTTGAGAAAAAATACTAGTGGCACATATTAATAAAAGCCAGTGAAAATTATGCGTACGAAAATTTATAATATACACCGATCAGGCATAACATTATGACCACCTCCTTGTTTCTACGCTCATTGTCCATTTTATCAGCTCCACTTACTATATAGGTGCACTTTGTAGTTCTACAGTTACAGACTGTAGTCCATCTGTTTCTCTGCATACTTTGTTAGCCCCCTTTTACCCTGTTCTTCAGTGGTCAGGACCCCCATGGACCCTCACAGAGCAGGTACTATTTGGGTGGCGGATCATTCTCAGCACTGCAGTAACACTGACGTGGTGGTGTGTTAGTGTGTGTTGTGCTGAGTGGATCAGACGCAGCAGTGCTGCTGGAGTTTTTAAACACTGTGTCCACTCACTGTCCACTCTATTAGACACTCCTACCTTGTCAGTCCACTTTGTAGATGTAAAGTCAGAGACGATAGCTCATCTGCTGCTGCACAGTTTGTGTTGGTCATCCTCTAGTCCTTCATCGGTGGTCACAGGACGCTGTTGGCTGGATATTTTTGGTTGGTGGACTATTCTCAGTCCAGCAGCGACACTGAGGTGTTTAAAAACTCCAGCAGCACTGCTGTGTCTGATCCACTCAGACCAGCGCAACACACAGCATAATTTTTTTTTTAGTATAATGTAGCTTGGTCCAAAGTGGTCTTTTTTATGATCCATGCAGTTGTTCAGTGTTTTAGAAGTACTAAGCATACCTGTGATATACTTCAAGAAGCATATTGTATCATATGTTATCATTATAGTGACGGATTTTTTATTTCATTGCCCACCCTAGATGGGATTTTCGTGTTCAGAGACCATATAAAAGTTACAGCCAACCAGTTTATGGTCCTTGCATGATAGCCACAGATCGGACTTTGTCTCAGTATCTTTAGGATGCTTTGAAATCAGTCAGCATCTGGTCACATTATTAAAAATGCACTGAATAAGCAAATAGCCATATTGTGGCTGCACTAATGTCTCTCGCACTTTATTTGAACTTCAACAAAGTCAGCAGCTGTTGTGTTTTTGTTTTACCGATCGTTTGCAGGATAACCAGCTGACATCGTTGCCGCTGGACTTCGGCACGTGGACCAGCATGGTTGAGCTGAATCTGGCCACCAACCAGCTGACCAAGATCCCTGAGGATATCTGCGGCCTTGCATCCCTCGAGGTATGGTTCACGTCCTGTTTTCTGATACAGCCATAGATCTAGATAGACCATCGTTTTGCTCTCCACCTCAGGGGAAGGAGTCTCGATGTCATCTCCCATTACTTTATTAGCTCAAGTGAAGCTTGTTAGAAGACCCCTTGGAGCGGCAAGGGATCAAGTGTCAACTTCAGCCGCAGAAGTTGCCCAGAAGTCATTGTGATTTTTCCTTTTTATACAGCAAAAAAAATGAACAGAGCTGTTTATAAGCAATAGCAAGGAAATACTGCAGAATGCTCAGGAAGCTGGGGTTACGCTGCTTGACTTTTACCCTGATTTTAGACCCGATTCTCAGTCTGGCCGAGTCTGTCCTTAGTTGGCTTTAGTCTGCAGATTTTTGGGTCAGTCAGAGTCGACAGTTGGTGAGAGAGTTGAGTTGTGTGTGAGCGGCGCAGACTCAGATTTTTGGCCTCCTGATCGCGATTCAGAGTCTGAGTTTATCAAACGTTTGTTTTTTTTTGACCCAACTCAGCGAAATCTAGTGTAAACTGATCAGCGACTCAATCTGAACAGATTCCTGCAACAGCCAATGAAAACTGAGAGCGTGAAAGAAGAAAATACAGCAAGTGAACAAAGAAAAATGGCAAAAAGTCACGTGGAGCGAAATTTTTTAATAAGCTGAGTTTAAGGCACAATAGAGTTTATATACTTTTAAAACTCCAAAAAATACCAAACTGATCACAGTTTTAAATCCATGATCTTCACTTAAACATGTTTACCTGCTGCTTCTTTACTGTATCGGCGCAAACGGCAGAGAAAACAGCAGTAGCAGCTCCACGTTTGTTTATTTGCATCTCCGAGTAATGGGAGAACGCAAGAGTTTGAGTTCAGTGAGTCCCGTTCAGTTCAGCAGCAGCTGAAAAGTTGAGTAGTGTGTGATCCCTAATCGCTTAGTGTGGATCCCCAATATTTCAGTCGCCAACAAAATCTGCAAAAACCAGTCTGATGGTGTGAGACGCCCAGTCTTTTATAATCATTTAAGACTTTAAAAGTCGTGTAATGAACCCAAGGCTTAACTGGCAATGTTCAAAATGGAAAACTACCTTATCTGTTATACATGACAGCTTATACAACAGATTTACTTTACTCTGCTAGCTTTCTAGTTAGCGAGCTACAGGCTGCATAGCTAGCAGCAACAAAAAGAAAGGCAATGCATTAAAGCTTATATCCAGACAAAACAGTTATTCGCAAAATTTGTTTATGCTCTGTTCCGGCTTCTTAAACATTTTGTGTTCCAAAGTTTGCATTTCTCGCGATATCGCTCACTGAAGCTAACCCAACGAAGGGCACGTGTTCTGATTAAAAAATACTCTCTTCACCGCCCCCTCCTTGCCTTGTAGTGAGTGGCCGTTTACACACTTCTGAGTGTTGAGCCGAAGGTGGCGACGAAAAGGCTTATAAAAAAAAATGTGATGTCTTAAAGATTTATTACAAAAAGGTAGTTAGATAAACTATTGTAAACTATTTACAGATATATAAAAAGTGGAGATAATGAAATAAATGAAACGAACCTTTTAGCCAACTTCCATCGGAATTAGACCTCCGCATTTAACCCATCCGTGCAGTGAAACACCACATACACACTAGTGAACACACACACTACGGCAGTGAGCACACTTGCCCGAAGCTGTGGGCAGCCCTATCCACAGCGCCCGGGGAGCAGATGGGGGTTAGGTGCCTTGCTCAAGGGCACTTCAGTCGCATACTGTCAGCTGATGGGGATCAAACCGGCGACCTTCCGGTCACAAGGCTGGTTCCCTAACCTCCAGCCCACGACTGCCCCCACATAAATAATATTATAAAATGTACTTAAACAATAAGAGTAATGTGCAGTACAAAAATACAAGTAATTGCATGAATACTATGCAGGAGACAGTGCGGTGGTGCCTGTCCCTCCAGTGAATGAACTACTGACTATGGACTGTAGCAGTAAATGTTAACAGTTTACCTTTAAAAGGCACCCATGAGTGTTCATGTTAAAATATCCCACAGTTATTTGAACAAATCAGGTAGACACATTTCTTTTTTATATATGGTTTAAGGTTTGTAGTACATTTGTTTTGCCATACTTGTCTGTCAGTTTTATACATGTAGCATTAGCATCTCAGAATAAGGCCACTGATGTAGAACCAGCTTGTAATGTCCATGTATATGCAGTGCTGGAAAAAGTCTTACCTCAGCAGTGTGTTTTCGCCAATAAATCCACCATATTGCTTTAGAATACATACAAATAAACATAAAAACAATAGAATGTAACACAAATTTGTTTTTAACATACTAAAGTTCTTAATGTGTTTGATTCCAGTACCTGATATAAGGAAGGATTGATTAGATACTTGGAAACTTGGAATTTGATAGTAACTGTAAATACTGGAAACTGTAACTGTAGATGCTTCACAAACGAACACATTCATTATACACATAAAATCACCACGTATTGTTTATTTGTATTAATTCTAAGTTTCTATAAGTATAATTTTCCCAAATGGCTTTAGACTTTCACACAGTACTGTATATACATATGCTCATATGGTTCAGCTGAGCTGTAGATCGTCAGAGCTTTAGTTCAGTTAAGTTTCTGCAGTGGAACGTTAGCTGAAGAAAAGGTCTTTCTTTTCTTCTTGAATTGGAACTGAATATTGAATGATGTTCGTTGTTAGCGAGACATTAGCTCAGCTCGTTCTCCATTCCTCTCCTCCTACAGGTTCTCATATTGTCCAATAATCTTCTGAAGAAGTTACCCCATGGAATTGGTAACTTGCGGAAACTACGCGAGCTCGACTTGGAGGAGAACAAGCTGGAGTCCCTTCCGAACGAGATCGCCTACCTTAAAGACCTACAGGTAACACACTTTTCTTCATACTGTCTTCATGAGGTTTTGCCATTTCTTATCAGCTTAGCTTATTACTGTAAACTGTCAAACGAACCAGCTGACAAGCCAGACTTCAACCAATTCCACCAATGATTCTAAATGTCTGCTAAGTAAATGGTTAAGATGTAAACATTCAGAGTGGTTTGGTGTGAAATACTTGTTCTAGAGAACCTTGGGGCAGATCACAGTGGTGGTGATAGGAACCAGACGTCTGAAGAGTTTAATGTCTCTAAAAGTTATTTCATGAAGTGGTTATGAATTCACTGCCTGGTGCCCCATACATTGTTATATGGTAACTTTGAGAAGGTTTTGGCCTGAAATATATTTTCTAAAAGCAGTTCATGGTGGAGAGACACATACAGGCTGTTACAAGACAAAATAGTCCCTGAAGAAAAGATTCCACATTTACCACTATTTGACCATCATCAATGTAACATATGAGAACTCCTCTGTTTCAGGCTGCTTTTTGAACAAGGCACAATACAGAACAGCCAATCAGAACCGAGATAATGTACTTATATGGCCCATTCTGCTGAATTGGTTCAGTAGTTTTAAAAAAGAACTATTTAAAAAAGGAATGAAATATTCAGACTTTAGATCTTTACAAGGTTTACGTTATCATCTTTTTGAACCTGAGGAATTACTAGAGATAATAATATATTTACCAGAGGTTTAAATATTTACATAATCATCATTTATAGGCTGCTTTCTGCTGGGAGGTGTTGGGATGTTTATTCAAAAAATGCTGTTCCATATTTTCATGTCACTACCGAAAGTTCTAGTCTGTAGGCGGAGCCTTATTGTAGCCACACCCCTGCATTTTAGAGCAGGTGAGAATGCATCCCTGTCCCTCATGGCCACATGGTGAGCAGTTAGATCACATTATTTTGAAGTAAATGTGTCCCTGAAAATCAGTGTGGATCACATGTTTTTGTTTTAAAGATAAATATGATTTTATGTGTACAGTTGTTCAAAGCTATGTTTGCTAGTCATGTACTGGCTAGCATTTTTTAGTTATGCTTAAAATTAGCTAAAACTGTCACTACTGAAACATTTTGTAAAGTTTGTGTTCAAAATTAGATGTAACTGTCACTGCTGAAACATTTAGTAAAGTTTGTGTTCAAAATTAGCTGAAATTGTCAGTACTGAAACATTTAGTAAAGTTTGTGTTCAAAATTAGCTGAAATTGTCAGTACTGAAACATCTAGTAAAGTTTGTGTTCAAAATTAGCTGAAATTGTCACTGCTGAAACATTTAGTAAAGTTTGTGTTCAAAATTAGCTGAAATTGTCACTGCTGAAGCATTTAGTAAAGTTTGTGTTCAGAATTAGCTGAAACTGTCACTACTGAAACATTCAGTAGTTTGTATTCAAAATTAGCTGAAATTGTCACTACTGAAACATTTAGTAAAGTTTAGTTCAAAATTAGCTGAAACTGTCACTATTGAAACATTTAGTAAAGTTTGTGTTCAAAATTAGCTGAAATTGTCACTACCATTAGCTAGAACTGTCACTACCGAAACAGTCATTTCTGAAATATTTTTTTGGTAGTGACAAAATAGAATGTTCAGTCATTTATTTTAATAAATTGAAAATAATAGAGTTATGAGGTCATGCAAAAGCATTTTAGTCTGAAATCCAAGCCAGTTAAAGTCTGAAATATGTTTTGCCTTTGAAGCAGTTCGGTATAATGGTACATTCTGGTCTTAAAGGCACAGTAACACAAACAGCCTGTTGAACTGTAAGGGAGAAAGAGAGGTTGGAAATGAATTATGACTGTTCTTCGTTCATAAAATCACATGAATGTAATAGGTGAGGCTCAAGCAGAAAATAAAATACAAGAAAAAAGTAGGATGTCAGCACTTTAAAAGCCACTGGTTTCCTTTGGTTCTAAATGTATGTGGATTTTATTTTCAGAAACTTGTGTTGACCAACAACCAGTTGACCACATTGCCAAGAGGTATCGGTCACCTGACCAACCTGACTCACCTGGGGCTGGGAGAGAACCTCCTGCAGCACCTACCTGAGGAGATTGGTGAGTAAACAAACGAGCACATGGTTTCCCCAACAATCAAGATTTTTTTTTAAGCCCTGGGTGTTAAATAATAACCATAATTACTGGAGTAAACATTTTTATCAACAACTTTAATAGATGTGTGTATCAGTACATTTTTAATTTAATTATGCCATTGTTTGTCAGTTCAGTATTACCAGCAACTAATTAATTTGCATATGATCCTCCCACAGCAGTTTAGCCCCACCCATTAACACTGAGGCTGTAAGGAGTGTTTGAGTCTTGACTGCTTTTTGTAATGATAGAAAGTCGTATGCAAAGGTTTGGGCGCCCAGGTCAAATGATGTTTTCTCGATTTTCTAAGTGAAAAGCTTTGGCACACTAAAGTTTGTAGAAAAATGTCATTTATTTCCTGTGCAGGATGTGTTAGTTGTGCTTAGAAAACCAACAAAACTTCTAATCAGACCAGGGACGTTTGATATTTTGCATGCCACTTCACAATACAGCTCAATCAGAGCAGTCTTAAAGGCTCAGTAACAAAAACCTCCCCTTTAATTCTAAGGGAAAAAGAGGTCTTGTAAAAGTGAATTGTTTTTTGCTACGTAACGCCATGCAAACATCATAAGTGGACATCATAAAATGCAAGACAGGTACTGGGCCCTTTAAAACTGAGCATTATAAAACTAGCCCTAGGATTTTGGCTTTATATGAGCATACGCATGTATTTGGAATGAAACAGATTCACTTCCGTCTGTCTTCGAACGCTTGAAAACCAATTTTACATCCCTGTCTTTTGCACAGGCACACTGGAGAACCTGGAGGAGCTGTACCTGAACGACAACCCCAACCTGCACAGCCTGCCGTTCGAGCTGGCGCTGTGCAGCAAGCTGTCCATCATGAGCATCGAGAACTGCCCCCTCAGCCACCTCCCGCCGCAGATCGTCGCTGGAGGCCCTTCGTTCATCATCCAGTTTCTCAAGATGCAGGGACCGTACCGCGCCATGGTGTAATCGGCCAGCCCCGCGGCGGCCAAGCACTGTACAAACGAACCGACGACAAAAAAAAAACAAGAAAGAAAAACAACAGAACAACAGAAAAATATTCAATGTTCAATTCAAGAACATCCTTGTCATTTATAGGTATACGTCAGAGAGAGACGACAAGGCAGATTATCGGAAGCCGGATCACTGATCATGCCAATAGATGAATCATAGCCAGTTTAGAATCCCTTTCCACCCAATCATGTTTAAGAAAAAAGAAGAGGAATGATTACGTAGACTTCTATTGCCAAACCGGGCGATCTTTTAGGAGTACGGCTGCTGAAGCACTCTCTCTATCTGAGCATTTAAACCACATTGCCAACTTTATTCAGTCCGCGAGAAAAACAGTTGTATGCAAAAAACAACAAAAAATTTCTTCATTTCATTTTTTGCTGCTGCTGCCATAATCGACTTTTTTTTGTTTTGTTTTTTTTTTTAAATTGTGTTCTCTTGATATTCCCTTATTTTTTTTTTTCCCTCCTTTTTAAAGACCATCCCATGCCGAATGATTTTTGTTTTTGTACAGAGGTTGTATCTGTTGGGTATCTGAGAACAAGTGTAGTTGTTAAACCATTCTCTCTTTTTATATATACATATATAAATATATATATATATAAATATATATATACATTGAAATTGTGCCTACCCAGCACGATTTGCTGGTTCATTTCTGAAAGTAATTGTTCTTGAGGTGTTTCATACAAAAAAAAAAACGATGATTTTACGAAAGTATAATTTATTGAATAATTCCTTTATATGGCTTTTTTTTTGTAATTATTCTTTCTGAACTTTCACCTTTTTTCTTCTTTTTTTTTAATATTCATTCCCATCCACTAATAGATTGAACAAACTCGCTGACGGCTTTATCTGCGTAGTGTTGATGCGATTATCACCGCTTTTAAGTCCAAAACAGTACAAAACAGATGTTACACATCAAAGCAGACCAGTTCGGCATCACGTTCCAGTTTAGTTGATGGAGTTTCAACTCCAGCGAATAAACTATTTAAAAATTCGTCACTCATTTTCGCTGCAGGCGTGTTTAGGGTCCCATGGTTTATGCTGCTTGCGATCGGGGTTCACTGTTTTCTTTTCCCCACCATATCTTCAGTGTTCGCGTCCCAGAGGGCAGTACATACAGCGTAGTGTCAACGTATAGTCACACGCGAAAGTTTGGGAGACACATCAAACGACGTTTTGTTTATTTTTCAAGTGAAAATAACCTTTACAGAGTGTAAACCTGATATTTTGTCTGCAAATTTTAGTGCACAATTTCTGTTTATTAGCCAAAAACAGAAAACATAAAATGTAAAATGTGCCATAATGTTTGCACAAGCTACATCTTATGTTTCATCCCCCCCCCCGATACAGAACTAGGCAAATGAACAGCAGTTGTGCGCTAAAATGTGCAAAAGTGTGTTGTTTATTGTTAAACGTGAACTTATTTTCATTTAGAAAAGCAACGAAACTGTGCCGTTTGGCAGGGGCACACAAACTTTTTCACACGACGGTACTACACTACACACATTGAGCATACTTTACTGATGGTAGTGTACTGTCGTCATGCTGTTCAGTATGCTAATATTTGTTCTTGCTGTTCTACCCTAGGTAGGACGGAGGTGCGCCTATTGGAACGCAGCCCTGTGTCTGTAGTGAGGCCACAGCAGGCTTTCTGTTATGATCTATATTTTTCTTCCGATTTCTTTTCTTCCTGCTTCCTCCTCACGCCGACACTCTCTTTTTCTTTATCCTCGCGCTCTCTTGGCCTCGTCCGACGCTGCCTCTCGACACCATCACTTTTTTATTTTTTTAATGCACTTTGTAAGCGATATCCGGCGTCCTCCCTGACTTTTAAAAGGCCGTGTTCTGATTTAAACGTTTGGATGGGGGCATTTTTAATCCTGTAGTGAAGTATTTTATGCTTTATTTGATCAGTCTATCATGTATGGTTTATATGTTTGAACGAATACGAGTTTGCCTCAGCAGATTTAAAGAAAAAAGAAATCTGTCAACAGTTGAATTTCTTGGTTTTCCGAGGCTTTTATGCTATCAACTCTTTATTAAATATTTTGATTTAAGCTGTATGTCTGATTAGTCTGTTGGTGTGTTTATGTACATCTTTAGAGAAAGAAAAAAATAGCGCCCATATCTCTGGTATTATTATTATTACATTGTTTTGCAAAGTATTGAGATTAAGGGGAAGTCCACCGGAATTTCAAAAATTGTGCCTTAATCAAGCATAGAGAAACTAAACAAAGTCATTCAGTTGTTTAATGTGAATTGGCTCGTTGTAGAGAAACACTGGTTTCTTCACGGTGGTGGTGATCGGTGGTGATATAGCCGTTTTATTTACTATCCAAAATGACCAGTGAGCCTAAACAGGTGGGTGAATAATAAAATACGTATGAGAAGTTTTTTCTGGGGGGCTATTTTGCCAACTAACCTGCATATTGTCGCTGTAGGAACAGAACCTCGTATCTCGGATGAATGTTCTGAATTTTTAATGGAGAAATTCATCTATCCAAGTTATTTTGGAGCATTTTTGTTGGTCCGTTGGACATGACCTGGGGTGTAGTGGGTAACATCTCTGCCTTCTACGCTGTAGAATGGGGTTCAATCCCCACCTGGGCAGCACCCTACTCTAAAACAATAAGAGTCCTTGGGCAAGACTCCCAACACTACCTTCGCCTACCTGTGTAACTTAATCAAATTGTAAGTTGCTCTGGATCGTCTGCCAAATGCAGTAAATGTAAATGACGTTTTAACACAATGTGAAGATTCCAAAATGTGTCAAAATATGAAAAACAGCAAAATTAGAGATGCAAGGTTTTGTACACGTTCAATCCGATAACTGTCAGATTTTGTCAGTAATCCGATCAACATGTTTACATGCACTTGAGTAATCAGATAATGGGGAAACTCCAGGTCTACATGAGTCAGACAGTAATCAGATTTCTGCTTTGCAACCAGCCAATAAACTCGCAGAAGACGACGTGACAAAAACGTAATGTAAACTCAAACTTAATGCCGCGGCTTTTTTTAAAACTTTGCGCAACTTTTCCTAAAAATATGAAAATACATCATCTAGAAGATGAAGAATTTTTAAATGCTTCTTTTCATCACACATGTATTTGGTTTCAGCGTCACTCCAAAAGTGTTTAGCTGCGTCTCGCGGCGACGCTCCTCGCTTATTTCTGGTACCACCGTCTGTTTCACACATGCGCAGACTGAGAAATCCGAAAGAAATCAGAGTAAGAGTTCACAGCACTGAGAAATCTGATTACTGAGCTAAATTCCAGCTCTCTTTATCAGATTTCTTAATTGGATTTCTAGACCTCACTCCACCGAGAATAGACTTTACAAAGTATGTTTAAGAACAAAATTTGATCCTAAGACTATCACCAAACTGTTTCAGGCATCAGGCAGCGTTAAACATTCTCATATCTCGTATCGCTGCTGTCGGAACAAAACCTTGTTTCTCCAAAATGGTAACTTTACAGGAGAAGGAAAAAACATCCTTTACTTTTAATGTAAGTCAATGGAACCAGACTTTTTTCCACGCTATTTTTTAGACATTTCTTTCAGTCCATTCATCATGAAATTTACACACAATGTAAAGAACAACAGGCATTTTCACATTATGTCAAAAACTGAAAAACGACAAAAATGTTCCAAAAAACAGCAGCGACAGATAAGACGTCGTCTGGTTCCATTCGCCACCACTGTGAACGGTTCCGAGTCTAGAAAGGAGCGTTTCACATCAAACCTCTCTCTGAATGACGACCAATTAACTGGGCGGAAATTTCGGAAATTGGTGGAATTCCCCTCCAAGGCCCTTGATGTTTTAATCTTGCATTTTACGAATGTTTTCATTTTACTTAAATAAATAATGAAATTGTCATTTACTGTTATATCAAGTGACCGACCGTTAAAACAGTCCAGCTAGTTTATCAGCCCAGTTTTAAAAGCAGTTTAACCGCAGTGTCATGTGCTGTTTTTTCTTTTTCTTCTTTCCTTCTTTCCTTCTTTCCTTCTTTCTTTCCTTCTCTTCACTGTTTTGAAGAAGTTCAGCAGCGGTTCGCGGCCGGAAACAGCACAACCCGCCGCTGCGCTCGTGGACGTCTTTAACGCATCTTTAACACGTAAACATGACGCTGTAAAGCGACGCACCCAGCAGAGACGAAGAGCTACGTGACCAACCGGCGCTAAACTGGAGCCCGGCGTAAACAGCACAGACTGAGGAGAGACATAAACAACGACGACGACAACACAAAGTAAACACTTGTAAAAAGGGCTTTTTCTGTTCTCGCTTGCCGATTCGCCAGAGGCACTGCATTCCTGGTTTTGTATAAAAGCTTAGAAAAAAAAAGAAAATGTACATTTTTTCTTCCTTTTTGTGTAATTACGAGTTAGCTGTTAACGAAATGGAATTATGATGATGATGATGATGATGATTATTATTGTTATGTGAAATAAATGCCTTCGACGAGTACTTCAAGTGAAACGTGCATTAGGAACACAGCAGCACCGCCGTGTCCCGTTCCAGCTTCATCTTTTCTTCTTTCTTTCTGTCTTTTTTCTGTTTCTTTTCCATTTACTGTGCCATTCTGAGGGGCTGGGGAGTCGGGTATGATCAGTGATCAATGACGGAGCGTTTATCAGAAAATAAACCAGTAAACAAACGGCTCGCCGGCTTATTCTCAGTCCTCTGACTCTGATTCTCAGTCCTCTGACTCTGATTCTCAGTCCTCTGACTCTCTTATTCTCAGTCCTCTGACTCTGATTCTCAGTCCTCTGACTCTCTTATTCTCAGTCCTCTGACTCTCTGATTCTCAGTCCTCTGACTCTTATTCTCAGTCCTCTGACTCTTATTCTCACTCCTCTGACTCTGATTCTCAGTCCTCTGACTATCTTATTCTCAGTCCTCTGACTCTTATTCTCACTCCTCTGACTCTGATTCTCAGTCCTCTGACTCTCTTATTCTCAGTCCCCTGACTCTTATTCTCAGTCCTCTCTCTTATTCTCACTCC